AAGTTCCAGCCCAATTTACCAATTTCAAACCTTAAATATTCTGCCATAATTTTAGCATACACATACTCAAAAGTGAATTTATTCTGAAACTAATGAAACTGGAGCTTCAGGGACACTCAATTACATGAACTCCTTCCAATACCCTAAACATAATTTTAATTATGTAATGATATAATTCTGTTAAAGCACAGTCCCCAAAACTGGATAAGCTCCCAAGTCATGAAATATATACACTTTTTTCCTTGCATATACTGAAGAATTACTGAAGCACGGCCTGTCTATACTGGCCTCAGCTTGCTTTTCATTCCTTAAATGGATATACTATCCTCTAAAGTCTGTTTCCTCTGGATCCCAAGACCGGCTAGTTGCTAAGCTTCCTAGTTGCTCTTCCAAACAAACACATAACTAATTTTTTTTCTGAAAGTTTAAGAGCTAATTAAAATGGGGGATACAAAACAGGATAAGCAAGATGAGTTAAAATAAACACAGGAGAATTACAAAGAAAAAAATCTTGGTTGGGTGAGGTGGCTCATGTCTATAATCTCAGCCCTTTGGGAGCCTGAGGCAGGAGGAATGATTGAGCCCAGAAGTTCGAGACCAGCTGGGGCAACATAGAGAGAAGCCATTTCTACAAAAAGGAAAAAATTAGCCAGGCGTGGTTGTGCACAACTGTAGTCCCAGCTACTCAGGAGGCTGAGGTAAGAGGATCACTTGAGCCTGGGAGGTTGAGGCTGCAGTGAGCTATGATTGCGTGACTGTACTCCAGCATGGGTGACAGAGGGAGACCCTGTCTCCAAAAAATTAATCAGTTAGCTAAGAAAAAAAATCTTTCTTGTAGGAGATAGCTTAAAATATAACAGTAAAATCTTACAGTGTGCCCCAAACTTATCAATCTGCAGATTCAACACAGTGACAACCAGAATCCCAGCAGCCCTTTTTGCAGAAACTGACAAGCTCATCCTAAAATTCATATGGAAATGCAAAGGATCCAGCACGGCCAAAATAATCTTGCAAAAGAAGAACAAAGTTGAGGAACACTTCCTAATTTCAAAATTTATTATGAAACTAAAGTAATCAGGATAGTGTGGTACTGGAATGGATGGAAATATGTAATAGATCAATGGAATAGAGTTGAGAGTCCAGAGATAAACTCTTACATTTATAATCAATCAGCGAGGGTGCTAACTATATGTTGAGGGAAAGAACGGTCAAAAAACTGTGCTGGGACAAGCTGCAAAATAATGAAGCTGAACCTCTACCTCACACCATATACAAAAATTAACTGAGAAAAGATTTTCATCTGGCCGGGCGTGGTGGCTCAAACCTGTAATCCCAGCACTTTGGGAGGCTGAGACAGGCAGATCACGAGGTCAGGAGATTGAGACCATCCTGGCTAACATGGTAAAACCCCGTCTCCACTAAAAAAAAAAAATACAAAAAACTAGCTGGGCGAGGTGGTGGGCGCCTATAGTCCCAGCTACTCGGGAGGCTGCCGCAGGAGAATGGCGTGAACCTGAGAGGCGGAGCTTGCAGTGAGCTGAGATCTGGCCACTGCACTCCAGCCCGGGCGACAGAGCGAGACTCCGTCTCAAAAAAAAAAACAAAAAAAAGATTTTCATCAACAGAAATGCAAGAGCTAAAACTATAAAACTCTTAGAAGAAAACACAGGAGTAAATCCTCACGACATTGGATAAGGCAATGGTTTATTAGATGTAACACCAGAAGTAAAGGGAACAAAAGAAAAAATAAATTGGGTCTCATCAAAATCAAAAATTTCTCTAACCAGAATATGTAAAGAACTCTTAGTAGAAAATGATGAAGACAACTCAATTTTTAAAAACGAGTCAAGGATTTGAATAGTCATTTCAACATAAATATTAAAATGGCCAATAAACACATGAAAAGATGCCCAACATCATTAGTCATTAGGGAAATGCATATCAAAACCACAATGAGATATCACTTTACCCCCACTAGGATGGTTATAGTAAAAGACAAACAATATTAAATGTCAAGAACGATATGGAGGCTGGGCGAGGTGGCTCCGCCTGTAATCCCAGCACTTTGGGAGGCCGATGTGGGAGGATTGCTTGAGGTCAGGAGTTCAAGACCATCCTGGCCAACATGGTGAAATCCCTTCTCTACTAAAAATACAAACATTGGCCACGGGTGGTGGCAGGCGCCTGTAATCCCACTTACTTGGCTGGCTAAGGCAGGAGAATAGCTTGACCCAGCAGGAGGCTGTAGTAAGCCGAGATCATACCACTGCACTCCAGCCTGGGTGACAGAGACTGTCTCAGAGAAGGAAAAAAAAAAAAAGGCCGTGCGCAGTGGCTCACGCCTGTAATCCCAGCACTTTGGGAGGCTGAGGTGGGCAGATCACCTGGGGTCAGGAGTTCGAGACCAGCCTGACCAACATGGAGAAACCCCATCTCTACTAAAAATACAATACAAAGTTAGCCGGGCGTGGTGCCACATGCCTGTAATCCCAGCTACTTGGGAGGCTGAGGCAGGAGAATCGCTTGAACCTCGGAGGCGGAGGTTGCAGTGAGCCCAGGTCGCGCCATTGCACTCCAGCCTGGGCAACAAGAGTGAAACTCTCATCTCAAAAAATAAAAAAAATAAAAAAAGAAGAATATTGGAGAAACTGGAACCCTCATATATTTAATAACGGGAATGTAAAATGGTGCAGCTGCTATGGGAAACTGTGGCTGTACCTCAAAAGTTAAACCTAGAATTAACATAAAACCAAGCAATTCTACTCCTGGGCCCACACCCAAGAGAACTGAGAATATATTCATACAACAAACTGTATATTAATGTTCATAGCAGCATTATGCAAAATAGCCAAGACATAGAAACAAACCCAAGTGTTCATCCAATGATGAACGGATAAACAAAATTTGGTATATCCATACAGTAGAATATTATTCAGCCATAAACAGTTATCAAGTACTGAATGGAAGCACTACAACGTGAATGAACCCTGAAAACATGCTAAAGCCAAATATAAAAGGCCACACATTGTAATATTTTATATAAAATGTCCAGAATAGACAAATCCATAGATAAAGAGTAGATTAGTGGTTGCCAGGGACTGGGGTAGGGAGGAATGGGGAGTGACTGCTAATGATACAAGTGTCTTTGGGGATGATGAAAAGGTTCTAAAATCACTTGTGGTGTTGGCTGTACAATCTTGTAAATACGCTAAAAACCACTGAATCGTACATTTTAAAATGGTGAATATTATTATACATGCATTATCCCAATAAGCCTGCTTTTTGTTTGTTTTTAGACAGAGTTTCGCTCTTGTTGCCCAGGCTGAAGTGCAGTGGCATGATCTAGGCTCATTGCAACCTCCACCTCCTGGATTCAAGCAATTCTCCTAACTCAGCCTCCTGAGTAGCTGGGATTACAGGCGCCCGCCACCACGTCCGCCTAATTTTTTGTATTTTTAGTAGAGTCGGGGATTTCATCACGTTGGACAGGATGGTCTCGAACTCCTGACCTCAGGTGATCCACCGACCTCAGCCTCCCAAAGTGCAGGGATGACAGGAGTGAGCCACTGTGCCCGGCCAATGAATCTGTTTTTAAAAACATCTTATACGTGGCTTCTGGTCACCTGTCTATTGAAATCATAAAATAACACTCTTGACTTCTGTCCTTTATTTCATTTCTGAGGGCTGGTGTCACCAACCTCTGTGCTTTCCTAACCCATGCTTTGGTTAAAAGCTCCAGAAAGTCTTGCCTGCAAAACGGTCTTTTACCCAGCACTGGTTATACTTCAGAGAGTTGGCTCAAGTAGGGAGATAAATATGAGGGCTCTCAGACTGGGTAATACTCATCTCAAGAAGCTCCCCATACACACTGACTTGGTATTCACACTTAAAAATTATGTAGACAATTTTTTCAAGCATAAATTATATAATTTGCAAACTTTTATTTAAATGTTGATTATACGCACATATATACCCAGGTTGTTTTTTCCAACTAGACCATTAAATCTCCAGAAAAGGCCCAAGTCTAAAGTCTGCGCCCTAATATTGCCCCAGTGCCCTGCACACAGTGTCCCATGTGGTCCTTTGTTTCAAGGGCTGATGATACCCTGTAACAACATGAATGTGGGAATTATATTCCAGTTCCATCACTTACTTAGCTTTGTGACTTTAGGCAAGTTGCTTAAATTGTGTGCCTCAGTTCACTCATTCCTAAAATAGGGCTAGCAATACCTGCCCGTTGGTATTCAGCAAAAAAAAAAAGTAATGGTGACACGCTGAATACGGCATCTAGGATACAGAGACGTGAGGCAGTCTCTGTATATACTGTGTGGAGTCAAATCTCCTTCCCATATATTTGCATTTTGACTGTTATTTGTTCTCTCAATCAGCAGCTTCCTCATCTGCAAAATTCTACGCCAAAAGATCGCTGAGAGGATTTTAAAAAACAAGAAAAACAAACAAAAAAGACTAGAACTCCTACCACACAGCAGGGTTTTGCTCAAACAAAAACAAAAACAAAAACGACCCTTTCTTTTCCATCTCCCCAGCTAAGGCGATTTCTTTAGCATCAACCTACAGCCTCCTAGTGCACCCAGCTGAAACGCCATCAATATCGCCGAACAGCTTCCAGATCTAGCTGTGGACAAACAGTGATGTCTCCAAGAACCACCGTAACCCCACATCAGGGAGCCATCTTCCAGTCAAGAAAATGAAAAGCTGTGCAAGAAAGACCTAAGGAATAAAATACCCCTCCCAGCAATCATCGATGACCCTTCCCACGTCGCTCGGGACCCAGCACAAAGACCGCAGTCAACACCGGCAAAGACTTTTCCTTTCTCACCCCACCCGTCCAGCTAGAGGGGACGTGGCGTGGGCAGCGATACAGGGGGAGGTCTGAGTGGTCGCAGGGCCCAAGACCGGGCGGCGGTGGGGGAGGGCGGAGCAGCCTCGGGGAAGCTCGGCACTCGGCGGTGTCGTTTAAGGGAGGGGTCCACCCTTACCTTCGCCCGCTTGCGCCGGCTGGTCCGACGCCCCTCCGGAGTCTCTGCTATTCCAGTTTCCATGGGGGTCGCAGACCCAGGCACGACGGTGGGCCCGGCCTGAGGCCCTGCGGACCCCGGCGGTTCGGCCAGGCCCCCGGGGGGCGAGGCCCGCGGAGGCTCTTTCTTGCGGGGTGTGCGCTCCCCGGCCGCCCCCGGCCCGACCTCGGCTGGGCCCGACAGGCCCGCAGGTTGCGCGGCCACCTCAGACCCATTCTCAGAGCCGCCCGCTGTCCCGGGGCCAGCCTCCGTCCCGGCTGCCGCCGCTGCAGCCGCCGCCGCCGCGGCTGCCGCCTTCTTCCCAGACAACATCTCGGGCCGCCGGGCCGCCGACGGCCGTAGGGGCCGCTCGGTCTGTCGCTCCGTGGGTCCGAAGTGCCTCGCCTCGCCTCGCTTCACGCTGCCCGCGCGCCGCCAACCGCCGTCGCGTACGCACGCGCTAAGCGCGCTCCCGCAGCGCCGGGACAAAAAGGGCCGGAGACGCCCACGAGCCCCGCCCCTCCCCCGCAGCCATAGAGTGGCGTTCTCGCGGCTAGAGCGGCGCCGCAGCAAAGACCGTGTAGCTTGCCTAGAGCGTCTCCCCGGCGTTTGGCGTGGGACCTGGCACCGTCCGTGGTCTTAGGGCTTCTGGGCCAGACTAAACCTCCGAAGGTGACCATTTCCTCCAGGGACTTGCGGATTTGCATGCGTTCGTTCGTTCATTCGCTAACCCAATTATTCGTCAGTTCTACCAGTATTTATTAATGCTTGCCCACTACGTAACAAGGGTTACATTATGAAGTTCTTTCAAAGAACTTACAGTCTAATGGGGAAAAACACTGAAATATATTGGTAGAGCGTCTTTCTTATTCATAATTGCTCTGCTTGGACTGGGCAAAAAACTTGGAGAGCATAGCAGTTTCGATGGTAGTAAAATGGAGACAAGTTAGGAAATCCAGGTTTGAGTCCAGACAGAATTGTTCTTGTCTCCAAGCCTTTGTTCATGCTTTTCCTTCTGTCTGGACCCCAACCCCATTCGCACCCCATGTCTTGCGCTTCTCCCATCCCCCATGTCCCTCATCCCCCATGTCCCCCATCCCCGTCGGCATAACACCTGTTTCTATTCCAGGTTAATTCTTTCTAATAATGATAGTAGTGGTTTATTCTTTTAATTTTTCGAGGAATCCCGTGCTGACCCAAAACTGGAACAGGTCTTGTCTACTTTTAGCATGTTTGTACTTACTACACAAACAATTGTCTTTTTAGTAGTCTGTCTCTTCAAAGTGAAATTGTCAAAAAATTATTCCGTTTACATGAAGTTCAAGAACTGGTAAAACTAATCTCTAGTAATAGATTCCAGTCAGCCCTTGCCTGAGATGGGGGTCGGGGTTTGACTGCAAAAGAACAAGAAAGAACTTGCTGGGGGTGATGGAAATGTTTTATATCCTGATTGGGATGATGTTTACAGAGGTGTATATATTTGTCAAAACTCTATGAACTCTCCATGTAAAATAGGTATGTTTTATGTAACTGTACTTAAGTAAAGTTGTTTTTCTAAAAAACTAGGCAAACAGACAAAAAGGCAATCAAATGTAGAAAGGAAAAAAGTAAAAGCTATGTAAGAAAGAAAATGTATCCGAGTAGGGTGGCATGCACTTGTAATACCAGCTGCTTGGGAGACTGAGGTGGGAGAACCACTTGAGCCTCGGAGTTCAAGTCCAGCCTGAGCAACATAGTGAGACTGCGTCTCTAAAAAAAAAGAAAAGAAAAAGAAAGAAAATATAATCATAGTACAACATATGGCTCAGCTGTGAACTGTGTTAATATGACCATAAAAACATAAGCAGTGAATATTGTTTTATTTATTTATTTTTTCTTTTCTTTTGTTTCTTTTCTTTCTTTCTTTTTTTCTTTCTTTTTTTTTTTTTTTTGAGACAGTCTTGCTCTGTTGCCCAGGCTGGAGTGCAGGGGTGCAATCTTAGCTCAATGCAACCTCTGCCTCCCGAGTTCAAGCAATTCTCCTGCCTCAGCCTCCCCAGTAGCTGGGATTACAGGCACGTGCCACCATGCCTGGCTAATTTTTGTATTTTTAGTAGAAACGGGGTTCCGCCATGTTGGCTAGGTATGTCTCCAACTCCTGACCTCAAGTGATCCTCCCACCTCGGCCTCCCAAAGTGCAGGGATTATAGGTGTGAGGCACCGCGCCCGGCCGAGCAGTGAATATTGTTTTAACCTAAGTGATAGAATTACATTAAGAGAATGGAGAAAAAAGAAAGTTTGTGGAGAGAAAGATGAGAAGGTTTTAAGGATTTAGGGAAGTAGGGAGGTTGTTGGGGGAGGTGCTGCTCGGGAACTAAATTATCTTTCACCGTAAAAATATAATACATAATGTTGGCCGGGCGCGGTGGCTCATGCCTGTAATCCCAGCACTTTGGGAGACCGAGGTGGGCAGATCACGAGGTCAGGAGATCGAGACCATCTTGGCTAACACGGTGAAACCCCGTCTCTACTAAAAGTACAAAAAAATTAGCCGGGCGAGGTGGCGGGCGCCTGTAGTCCCAGCTACTCAGAGACTGAGGCAGGAGAATGGCGTGAACCCTGGAGGCGGAGCTTGCAGTGAGCCGAGATCGCGCCACTGCACTCCAGCCTGGGCGACAGAGCGAGACTCCATCTCAAAAAAAAAAAAAGAATTCCTGGCCGAGTGCAGTGGCTCATGCCTGTAATCCCAGCACTTTGGGAGGCCAAGGCGGGTGGATCACCTGAGGTCAGGAATTCGAGACCAGCTTGGCCAACATGGTGAAACCCCGTCTCTACTAAAAATACAAAAATTAGCCAGATGTGGTGGCACTTACCCGTTTTTTCCCCCAGAAATAACTAATTCATTTCAGATGTTTTTATTGTGATCAAATACACATAACATAAAATTTACAATCCTAACCATTTTGAGTATACTGTTTAGTAGTGTTAGATGCATTCACATTGTTGCATAAACAATCTCCAGAACTCTTTTCATCTTGCGAAACTCTGTACACATTAAACAATGACTACATTTGCCCCTCCTTCTAGCCCCTGACAGCCACCATTCTACTCTTTGCCTCTATGAATTTGACTACTGTAGATAGCTCATATAAGTGGAATCATATGGTATTTGTTTTTTTTGTGACTATTTCACTTAGCTTAATGTCCTCAAGGTTCATCTATGTTGTAACATGTTAGAATTTCCTTCCTTTTAAAGGCTGGTAATATTGTGCATATATAACATTTTATTATCCATTCATCTATGGATGGACACTTTTGTTGCTTCCACATTTTGGCTATTGTGAATAATGCTGCTGTGAACATTGGTATACAAATATCTCTTCAAGACTCTGCTTTCAATTCTTTGGGAATATCCAAAGTGGAATTACTGTAGCAGTGTATGCTTTTTTTTTTTTTTTTTTGGGAAGGAGTCTTACTGCGGTTGCCCAGGCTGAAGTGCAGTGGCGCGATCTCGGCTCACTGCAACCTCCGCCTCCCGGGTTCCAGCAATTCTCCTGCCTCAGCCTCCCAAGTAGCTGAGATGACAGGTGCCCGCAAACCACACCTGGCTAATTTTTGTATTTTTGGTAGAGACGGGGTTTCACCATGTTGGCCAGGCTGGTCTCAGGTGATCTACCCGCCTCGGCCTCCCAAAGTGCTGGGACTACAGGCGTGAGCTACCGTGCCCGGCTAGCATTTTTTAAAAGCTAATGTCTCCACTGGGCACGGGGACTCACGCCTGTAATCCCAGCACTTTGGGAGGCTGAGGTGGGCGGATCATTTGAGGTCACGAGTTTGAGACCAGCCTGACCAACATGATGAAACCCTGTCTCTACTAAAAATACAAAAATTAGGTGGGTGTGGTGGTGCGTGCCTGTAATCCCAACTACTTGGGAGGCTGAGGCAGGAGAATCGCTTGAACCCGGGAGGCGGAGGATGCAGGGAGCCAAGATGGCGCCACTGCACTCCAGCCTGGGCAACCGAGTGAGAGTCCGTCTCAAAAAAGAAAATAAATAAATAAAATAAAATAATAAAAGTTAATGTCTCCAGTTGGGAGAATTCTTGAGGCTAGGAGTTTGAGACCAGCCTGGGCAATATAGCAAGACCTTGTCTCTAAAAAAAAAAATTTTTTTTTTAAAATTAGCTGGGCATAGTGGCACATGCCTGAAGTCTTAGCTGCTCAGGAGGCTGAGGCAGAAGGATCACTTGAGCCCAGGAGTTGGAGGCTTCAGTGAGCCATGATCACACCACTGCACTCCAACCTGGGCAACACAGTGAGACCTTGTCTCAAAAATAAAATAAAATAATAATAAATAAAAAGTTAATGTCTAACTGTACAGAGTCCAAAACCTTATCAATATTACATATTATATTAAACAAAGTTACCTTCCGCTAAAGTATCAGGTGACAAATAGATGGGCTAGTATAACTGTAAAAGCCTTTACGTCCAAGTTTGGATAGCTTTTCTTTGCCCCTGTGATGGTAGGGGCTCTGTATTGGCCATTTTTTTTGCTAGTTGCGAGGCCCAGAAGTACTGGTGAATGAATGAGGAGGCCTACATCACCTGGCTGTTGTGAGGACATCATGAGATAATGCTCGCAAACTGCCTGTCAAAGAGTTTGGCACATAGTGGTTGCTTCAGACATAGGAGGAGTTATTATTATTGTTATGCGGCAGCTGGGTGGGGGGAGGGAGCTGGCTATGACTCAGAGAAGTGGGTGGCCATGACTCTTGTCATGGAGGGGCCTCAGGCAGGGTCCTGGGGCTTGTGTGCCTCCATGCCATAATGCTGGCAGAACTGATATTTCTCTTTAGGAGTCTCCATGGGATACTTGCCTCCGCGGGCACCGTAGGAGCAGTGGCAGCTTGGCTGATGAGCTATAAGCCAGCCTTGTTTGGGTTCCTATTCCTTCTGCTGTTGCTTAGCAACTGGCTGGTCAAGTGTGAACACAAGCTCACCCTCCCAGAGCCTCAGCAGGTGAGCAAGAGGGGGCTTGGCTTCAGCTCAGGGATAGGGGGTATTTGCAGCTAGATTAGGTGGTAGGGAACAGGGTAGGTGTCGAAATAATTGGGCAAGACTGAGGAATCCAAGACTCTGGTCTAAATCACCACTCTACAGCTTCCTCTTAGGTGGTGCTGGGTAAATCACTTCCCTCCATGAGGCCTCAGTTGCCTCACCTGAGCTGTTAAATCAGGACCACCCCAGACTCTCCTATTTCATGTTTGATGTCAACATGCTTTGGCAAGAGTAACAACTACTTTAATGTGAAAAAAGTCAAAAAAACGAAAATGGATGAACATAGATACATCTCTAAAATAGAATAGTGAAGACAGCAGAAATGTACATAGATTATGACATCTTTCATTTAATGCTAAAGAAAACATGCTAGGCTGGGCGCAGTGGCTCACGCCTGTAATCCCAACACTTTGGGAGACCGAGGCAGGTGAATCACTTGAAGTCAGGAGTTCAAGACCAGCCTGGCTAACATGGTAAAACCCCATCTCTACTAAAAATACAAAAATTAGCTGGGTGTGGTGACACGCACCTGTAATACAAGCTACTCGGGAGGCTGAGGCAGGAGAATCACTTGAACCGAGGGGATGGAGGTTGCAGTGAGCTGAGATCATACCACTGTGCTCCAGCCTGGGCAACAGAGCAAGAGTCCATATAAAAACAAAAACAAAAGCAAAAAACCATGCAAAACAGCCTGGTGCAGTGGCTCACACCTATAATCCCTGCAGTTCAGGATGCCGAGGCAGGTCAACAACCACTTGAGGCCAGGAGTTCGAGAATAGCCTGGGCAACATGAAGAAACCCTATCTCTACAAAAAATACAAAAATGAACCAGGCATGGTGGTGTGTGCCTGTAGTCTCAGCTACTCAGGAGACTGAGGTGGAAGAATCACCCGAGCCTGAGAAGTTGAGGCTGCAGTGAGCACGCCACTGTACTACAGCCTGGGTGACAGAGTAGTTAGACTCTGTCATAAACAAAACAAAACAAAACAATAGCCTGTCTTATTTATAGAGGCATATGTGCAGTGAAAATATTTTAAGGCAGGCTGCCTCAGCCTTGGCACTATTGACATTTTGGGTCAGATAATTCTCCATTGTGGGAGGCTCATCTGTCACCTGTGCATTGTTAGCTTAGCAGCAACCCTGGCCCCTACCCATGAGATGCCAAGTAGCACACCCACCATTTCATAACAATCAAAAGTATTTCCAGATATTGCCAAATGTCCCCTGGGGAGGGCAGAATGCCTCCCACTGAGAACTACTTTATAAAGAAATGCATGGAAAAATAAATTTTAAATGCAGGATTACGGTTAGGGTGATGCTATTCAGGGAGGGAGGAGGACGCTGTGAGTGGGAGAGTCCACAGGGAACTTTAGTTATATTTATGATATTTTATTTCTTAAGTTGATATGGGAATATGAGTATTTTTTGTATTATTTACCTTTTTTGCATGTCTGATACGTTGAATTTTTTTCAGTTAACCATTTTATTTTATTTATGTACTTAGTTTTTTGGGACAGGGTCTCGCTTTGTGGCCCAGGCTGGATGCAGTGGCGCAACCATGGCTCACTGCAGCCTTGACCTCCCTGGGCTCAGGTGATCCTTCCACCTCAGCCTCCCAAGTAGCTGGGACTACATGTGTGCACAGGGCTAATTTTTTCTAGTTTTTGTGGAGATGGGATTTTACCATGTTTCCCAGGCTGGTTTCAAACTCCTGGGCTTAAGCAATCATCGTGCCTTGGCCTTCGAAGGTGCTGGGATTACAGCCATGAGCCACCACACCTGGCTTAATTTTTAAATATTTTTAAAGACCATTAGTTTGTAGCTAAATCCAAAAAGAAAAAAAAATAAATAAGTGTTATTAACCAGGGGAGGGAGAGATGAGGATCATGGAGATAAAAGCATGTCATGAGACCACTGAGACTTCGCCGTTTGAAATCGTACTGAGCCTGATAAGATGCTGGAAAAACAAAGGCTTTGGAGATAGATATATTTAGGCTAAGGGCTTTATGTCCACTGCAACTGGCAGATTAGCGAGTCATCTCATGCATTCCTATGAACCAAATGCAAGTGGAGGACTCAGGAATTTGAGGCTGTACGATGCTGAGAAAGTGACCTCCCAGCCAGGCCTGGTGGCTCACACCTGTAATCCCATCACTTTGGGAGTCCGAGGCAGGCAGATCACCTGAGGTCGGGAGTTTGAGACCAGCCTGGTCAACAGGGTGAAACCCTGTCTCTACTAATAATTACAAACACAAATACCAAAAATTTATACTAATACAAAAAGTTAGCTGGGTGTGGTGGCACGTGCCTGTAATCCCAGTTACTCTGGAGACTGAGGCAGGAGAATCGTTTGAACCTGGGAGGTGGAGGTTGCAGTGAGCTGAGATCACACCAATGCACTCCAGCCTGGGCAACAAGAGTGAAATTCTGTCTCAAAAAAAAGAAAAAAAGAAAGTGACTTCCTGTTACTGGGTCCCAAGTCTCCACAAAATGAGGCAATGATGCTCCCCTTGCAGGCAGTTGTGAGAATCTATTAAGATAATGTTTGTAAACCACCTGGCAGAGAGCAGGTGTTCAAGCAAGGAAGGGATTATCATTTTTAACCAATTTTCCCCTTTTTGTGGTGGTGGGGAGCTTAGAAGGAGGAAGAGAAACCAAAGGCTTCTGAAAACGAAAACGACTCCAAGAGCGACAAGGCCACGAACACAAAAGAAGTCAATAGAATGCATTCCTGCTTTGCCCTCCAGGACAAGATCTTCCAACGGCTTTTGTTCAGTGAAATGAAGCTGAAGGTCCTAGAAAATCAGATGTTCATCATATGGAATAAAATGAATCACCACAGGCGGTCAAGCAGACATGGGAATTTTCCCATGAAGAAACACAGAATGAGGAGGCATGAGTCCATTTGCCCCACCCTGTCTGACTGTACTTCCAGCTCCCCCAGCTAATGAGGCCGAGGCGGGCTGGCCTCTGCTGATGTTACCTTTTACCTCAGTAAAACCCAGTCAAAGCCATTGAATGTTCGTAGTAAGTCATAATGGAAAGGTGCCTATGAGCCAGGAAGAGGATCAGAGGCTGAAAGATCACCTTTGGAAAAGAAATCTGTACACACCAGGTCCACCAGGTAGCATGTAGTGACATGGCCTGACAGGGCTCTACAACTGTCCCTTTCTAGAGCCTTCTATTTCAGTTGGGTCTATCCTGGTTCCTCCCTGGCCCTGTGCTTGTTCACTCTGAGTCTCCCCACTCCTGCCCCAGCCGCTAGTCTCCCCTCTCATCCTGAACCCAGAGGCCGGAGCCAGTCCTGCCAAGCCTGGCTCTGACCATGTCCATTGCTCTTTTTTTCTTTTTTTTTTTTTGAGACAGAGTTTCGCTCTTGTCACCCAGGCTGGAGTGCAGTGGCACGATCTCGGGTCACTGCAACCTCCACCTCCTGGGTTCAAGTGATTCTCCAGCCTCATCCTTCCAAGTAGCTGGGATTACAGGCGCCCGCCACCATGCCTGGCTAATTTTTGTATTTTTAGTAGAGACAGGGTTTCACCATGTTGGCCAGGCTGGTCTCGAACTCCTGACCTCAGGTGATCCACCTGCTTTGGCCTCCCAAAGTGCTGAGATTACAGGCGTGAGCCACCTTGCCTGGCTTCATTGCCCATTCTTGAGCCAATGTCTTGCCTTGATGTTGACAGATTAAAGCCCACCTTCCTTCCCATGGTGTTCAGGCTCTCCATGACCTGACCCCTTCTTAGCCTTTTCCCCATCCATTACTCCTCTTCATATGCCTTAAACTCTGCATCAGAATATCAGAAACATCAGATATTTGTATGTACCTTTGTGATATTTGCCATAACCAGGAACCACCTGAATGTTAACTCAATGTTATCCCTTTAAGTTGACTATTTTTTCTTAAATTTATCTGTAAAGGAAAATAAGTAAATAAAAGAATTTCTGCATACATTTAAAAAATTCTTGGTTTAAGTAGAACACAACTGTAAAATTAAAGACATAAAGACAAAAACCATGTTACTGAGTTTTGTTTTGTTTTTTTTTTTTTTTTAGACAGAGTTGAGCTCTTGTCATCCAAGCTACAGTGTAATGGTGCAATCTCAGCTCACTGCAACCTCCACCTCCAGGTTCAAGTGACTCTCACACCTCAGCCTCTGAAATAGCTGTGATTTCTGGCACCCACCACCACGTCCAGCTTATTTTTGTATTTTTTAGTAGAGACAGGGTTTCACCATGTTGGTCAGGCTGGACTCAAGCTCCTGACCTCAGGTGATCTGCCCACCTCGGCCTCCCAAAGTGCTGGGATTACAGGTGTGAGCCACCATGCCCGGCTCATGTTACTACATTTCAACCAGACCTCGGTTACCCACTGACAGATCTGAGCCAGTGGGTTTTGTTTTAGAAAGTGAGATCAGCAAGTGTTAGGGTTTGAAAGACAAGCCAGAACCTAGCCAAGGCTTTTCTTCATAATGAAAACTGGAAAGGAAATCATTATCTCACTGTTTGATTCAGTGTGACTTTAGTGTTAGGTTGGTGTTCTACCTAAAATCGTCTCTCTCACACAAGTCACATGCATTCTAACCAAACCAGAGGACTTGCCATCCCCCAAATGCATCCACATCTTTGGTTACATTGTTTCTTCCCCTGTGATCCCTAATTTTCTCCTTTCTGCTCTTACAATTCTTCACTTCTTCCAAAGCCATCAACTCTAGGAAGCTCCCCTCAACCCAGCTATAATGAATCTTTTCCTTAGCATTCTTTCCACATTTTATCTGTAGTTCTATAATAGAATGTTTCACAATCTGCTGGGATTTGATTTGTACACATTATTACAGTCCCTCCCCATGCTTCAACTAGATTATAAGCTCTTTGAAGACAAGCACAGAATATTGTTCGTCTGTATATCCCTCCCCCACCTGTAGCACCTAACACAGTGGCTGGTATACAAGCAGTGCTCAATAAAGAATACGTAGGCCAGGCGTGGTGGCTCACGCCTGTAATCCTAGCACTTCGGGAGGCAGGGGTGGGCAGATCACCTGAGGTCAGGAGTTCAAGACCAGCCTGGCCAACATGGTGAAACTCCATCTCTACTAAAAATATAAAAATTAGCCAGGTGTGATGGCACATGCCTGTAATCCCAGCTACTCAGGAGGCTGAAGCAGGAGAATTGCTTGAACCTGGGAGATGAAGGTTGCAGTGAGCTGAGACCATGCCACTGCATTCCAGCCAGCTTGGGCAACAGAGTGAAACTTCATCTCAAAAAAAAAAAAAAAAAAAAAAAAAGACTATGATTGCTTATCAATGTCTTATGTGTGCAGACATTTTCTCTGCCCTTTAATTTTATGATGATTCTCCTATATCCTATTTTGTTTTGAAAGCAGAATCTCTGAGGCTAAACTGCCTGGGCTTAAATCCTAACTCACCAACTCTCTGTTGTGTGATCTTGGACAACTCTTGATTGTTTATTCTTCCGTACCTCAGTGTCCTTAACTGTCAAATGGGCAGATTAACACTATGAATCTTATAGAATTTATAGATGGTGTCTTAGTCTGTTTGTGCTTCTATAAAAAAATTCCTGTCTGGGCATGGTGGCTCATGCCTATGATCTCAGCACTTTGGGAGGCAGAGGCATGAGAATCACCTGAGCCCAGAAGTTTGAGACCAGCATGTACAATATGGTGAAACCCTGCCTCTACAAAGAATACAAAAGAACTAGCTGGACATGGTGGTACACGCCTGTGGTCCCAGCTACTCAAGAGGCTGAGGTGGGAGAATCACCTGAGCCTGGGAGGTCAAGGATACAATGAGCCATGATCGTACCACTGCACTCCAACCTGGGTGACAGAGTGAGATCCCATCTCAAAAAACAAAAACAAAAAAATTAACCGGGACTGGTGGTGTGCACCTGTAGTCCCAGCTACTCGGGAGGCTGAGGTGGAAGGATCACTTGAGCCTGGGAGGCCGAATTCACAATGAGCCAAGATCACACTACTGCACACCAGCCTAGGTGACAGAGTGACACCCTGTCTCCACACATACACACAAATACCTGACACAGGATAATTTATTTAAAAAAAAGAAAAAAACACAGATATTTATTTCTTACAGTTCTGGAGGCTGGGAGGTCTAAGATCAAGGCTCTGGCATCTGGTGAGGTTGGCTCTCTGCTTCCAAGATGGCACCATGAAAGCTAGATCTCTGGAGAGGAGGAATGCTGTGCCCTCGTAAGGCATAAGTGGAAGGGCAAAAGGGAACAAACTCCTTCTATCAAGCATTTTTTTTTTTTTTTTTTTGAGACAGAGTCTCGCTCTTTTGCCCAGGCTGGAGTGCACTGGTGCAATCTGGGCTCGCTGCAAGCTCCACCTCCTGGGTTCATGCCATTCTCCTGTCTCAGCCTCCCAAGTACCTGGGACTACAGGAGCCTGCCACCATGCCCAGATAACTTTTTTTTTTTTTTTTTTGTATTTTTAGTAGTGATGGGGTTTCACCGTGTTAGCCAGGATGGTCTCGATTTCCTGACCTCATGATCCACCCACCTTGGCCTCCCAAAGTGCTGAGATTACAGGCCTGAGCCACCACGCCCAGCCTTATCAAGCATTTTATAGTGGCATTGACCCATTCATAAGGGCGGAGCCCTCATGACCTAAATACCTCCCCAAAGGCCACACTTCTGAATAGCATTCCATTGGAGATTTTTTTCAACATATGTGTTTTGGGAGACACACTCAGACCATAACATTCTTTCCCTGGTCCCCCAAATTTATGTCCTCACATGCAAAATATATTTAGTCTATCCAGATAGCCCCCAAAGTCTTCACTCATTCTAACATCAACTCAAAAGTGTGGAATCTCATCTAAATCAGATATGGGTGAGACTCAAGGTACAATTACCCTGAGGCAAATTTCCCTCCAGCTGTAAACCTGTGAAATTGAACAAATTATGTGCTTCCAAAATACAGTAGTGGAGTAGGCGTAGGATAGATATTTCCATTCCATAAGGGAGAATTAGAAAAGAAGACAGGAATAACAGGCCCCAAGTAAGTCCAAAAAAAATTTTTTTTTTTTTGAGATGAGATCTGACTTTATCGTCCAGGCTGGAGTACGGTGGTATGATCTCAGCTCACTGCAACCTCGTCCTCCTTGGCTCAAGTCATCCTCCCACATTAGCCTCCCAAGTAGCTGGGACTATAGGTGTGTACCACCACATCTGGCTAATTTTTTGTATCTTTCATATAGACAGGGTTTCACCATGTTGCCGAGGGTGGTCTCAAACTCGTGAGCTCACGATCCGCCTGCCTTGGCCTCCCAAAGTGCTGAGATTACAGGCCTGAGCCTCTATACCTGGCCTCTAAGTACAAAACTTAACTGTGCAAGCAACATTAAATCTTAAGGCTTGCATAATCTTTGACTGTGTGTTCTGCCTCCCAGACACACTGGTATGTGGGTTGGGCCTCCAAGGCTTTGGGCAACTCTACCCCCATGGCTTTGCTAACTGCAGTTGTCACACACATTGAAGGTGGGTGCTTGGAGTGGCACATTAATGCTCTACAGTTCTGAGGTCTTCCCATTCCTATGGCTCCACTAGGGACTGCCCTAATCGGGACTCTCTGCAGAGGTCCCAACCCCACAGTTCTGCTGGGCATTGCTCTGGGTTTGGGGGGCGGCTCTCTGCAGTGGTCTAGGTCTCTGCCTAAGTCCCCAGGCTCTCTGAGGCATCTGTTAAAATCTGGGTGGAGGAAGCTATGGCTTCACAGATCCTGCACTCTGCACACCTGCAGAATCAGCACCACATGGATGCTGCCAAGACTCACAGATTATGCCCTCTGGAGCAGTGGCCCCAGCTGCACCTAGACTTGCTTTAGCCACACCAGCAGAGGCTGAGCAGTGCTGCACCAGAACACAGGGAGTTGGCCCTGGACAGCAAGCCCTGAGGTCCCACAGGGTCCCCTGGGCAACTCCTCCAAAACTGTTCTGCCTCCAAAGTCCTAGCACTCTGAGCCTGTGATGGGC